AAACTATTTCATCGATTATTTACCAACGAGTTGTGGTTTGAGTTGGGGGCAATGCGACTAAAACAGTAATTGAAATTCAGCACACTATTTTTTAAAACGCGTTGCTTGAATAAAACTGACCAGACACATTCAATTTACCACACTATTGAACAACTAGGAAAAGTGAAAAAAATACTTCTTATCGCCAGCATAAATGCGTAATTATTTTTTTTACAGAAAAAGTAATTTTTCACCTTTGATTGAGTAATGCGTCGTAGAATGCAGATACCGGCATGCAAAATACACTTGTGAAAAGCTTGAAATCTGGCGATTCTAAAAATATATACTTTCCCGGGTCTATTTGTAGTCATTTAGTCACAATTAGAAGATGAAAACAAGTATGCAAATAATAGTCCCGCTACCTTAAATGTGATTTTCCAAATGAGGAATAAGACATTCGGTCATGTCCGTGACCTTTTCTAACATATCTGTACAGCGGTTTACAGAATTAACTCTATGGTTTTGGTGTTAGATGTATATTAATTTTATATGTTATTATAAAATATTTCTACTGAAAATAAACAACTTATTTAAATGTACAAAGATATGTAGTAACAAAACTGTAAGTTGTATTTTTTTATTTGTATGTGTTTACAGAGATGCAATGGGTCTTGGAAAAACGCTACAAAGTATAACACTGATCTGGTAAGTTCCTGAAAAATTGTTGCTGTCAGGGTGTTTACTAAAAGATAGTCATGCTGTTTTAACAAGTTCGGAAGAGTGTGCTTTTTAACAGAACTGTCTGTAAATTTCTCAAATGTAAATTCATGACTGGAATTTTTTTTTTTTTTTTTTATCACAACAGGACATTGTTAAAACAAGGACCATATGGAGGTAAACCAGTTGTAAAGAGAGTACTCATTGTAACACCAAGCAGTTTAGTAAAGGTAAACTATAACTCATTTATTAGATCATATTTAGATTGCAATTTGAGGAAGGTTTTTATTTGTGAGCATGCTCTCTTGCATTGAAAGAAAAATGTGTTTTTTGTTGGCTCCATGGACTTATTCATTCTACTTGTCAACCATCATCTGTGAACATCAGCTTTTCAGAATTCAGTCTCTACTTGATAAGCATCGCCTGTATGGGTTTCATACTTACTACAAATGAACTTTTGGTGGTTCTCTCTCAGATTTTATGATTTCGTAGTGATAAATTTAGTTCTAGTGAATTTTAGTGAATATTTTTGTAATTTTTCTTTTAAAATATTTTTACTTGTTCTGGAAACAACTTGCCTTTTTGATTGAGCCTCTCAGATCTAATGATTTCATTGGGATAAATTTAGTTCTATGATTTTAGTGAATATTTTTGTTGTTTTTCATTTAAAATATTGTTTTCAACTAGTTCTGGAAAACAACTTGCATAATTGATTGAGCCTCTCAGATTTTATGATTTCATACTAATAAATTATCAATTAATTATTTTTTGTCGTTTTTGGTAAAAAATATATTTGTTTGTCTTTTGGAAACCGCCAGCTTAATTGTTTTGATATTTTCTATGTAGATTCCTTGGATGGACGGCTGACACATTAATATTTTTATTTCATTATCAGGTTAATTTATTTAGTGTCTCATTTTGCTGAATATTCTTGTTATCTTAAAAAAAGGCTTAGAGGAAAATATACTATGAAATTGTCAAAACTGTGGTAAATAACTTGCTAGCTATGACAGTTACTGAAGTTGTGACTGGAAAGTGTACTTGAAAACCATTGTTTTAATGCTAAATTTAATTATAATGCCTTGTACAATGTAATATTCAGGCTTGAATTTCAAATCATCAATTTTTAAAAATGATTTTGAGTTGTTAAAATTTTGGACAAAACTTTTTTAATTTTGATGGGCTCCAAAGCTCTTCAGTGTGGTACTTTTTATTCTGTAGAACTGGAGCCAAGAATTCAGAAAATGGTTAGGAAAGGAAAGGATTATGGTGTATTCTGCTGGATCCGATAAACCTGCTAAGGTAAGGTATGCAATTACACTGCAGGTTTCAGTTGTCATAGCACCTTCATCGTTTGAATCAGAAATTGGTGCTTTTTATTTTGTTTTTTATAGCGATATGCGGAGGTCTTATTTTCTGCAGATAATATTGTTGCTTTTATTTTGTACAATTTGTTAATTGTTTATCTGCATTTAACGAGAACAGTGTGGAATTTACAGTTTTTGTCTTTCAAGTAAAAATATTATTAATTTGTAAACAGTTCCGGGCAACTGGTTAGCAGTGTAAATGTTATCCACTAATCTACACAACTTTTTAAAAAAAAAATATTTTTATTGTTTTTTTTTTACTCTGTATTCAGGATTTTGGCCAGTCTACAATCTACCCAGTGATGATAATAAGTTATGAATTGTTGATGAAATCTATTAAAGTTATACAGAATGTCCAGTTTGATATAATGATCTGTGATGAGGGGCATAGACTGAAAAATAGTAATATCAAAACAACCTCAGTAAGTCAATACTATTAAAATCAGACATTCTTATTTTATTTTGTCTTGTATAAAATTAATTGTTGTTGGTCATAGCATATATGAACCTAAACATCACCTACACACTATGACCTACACACTATCGCCTTTGTCCTGCACATACATTGTGACCTACATCTACACATCATGACCTCCAAACTAAGTCATTCATACCATGACCTCCAAAGTAATTCATTAATATTATGACCTCCAAACTAAGTTTGACCATGACCCCACTTTAAGACCTTCACACCATGAACTCCACACGATGACCTGCACAGCATGATTTGCATATCTTATTTACATGTAATTGTAAATGTAAACACCATGACTTATACACCTTGACATTCACAAATATGACATGATGCTATTATGCATTATGTAGGAGTGCAATTTGAGATTTTAATATATTCCATATCCAGACATATTTGGTACAACTATATCTATGCAATCTAACTAACTGCATTCTATTTTCAGATGATTTCAAACCTTGATGTAAAACGTAGAATTGTATTAACAGGCACGCCAATACAGGTAACATGTGTTAACTCATTATACTATAGCCTCTTTATAATGAACACCTTTATAATGATTTTCCTGATATAATGAACACATTGAATGACAAATCCAATGTAATATGTGCTTCATTATAGTGAACACTTCGCTATAACAAACTAATTGTATCCCTGAAAAGTTTAATTGTTACAACAAGGGTATAATGTAGCTGTGCTGCTTTGTGTACTTATTATATTCATCACTACAAGTACCGGTACCTGTTAATTAGAGAGGTGTAAGGAATTCCCGATCACATAACCATTACATGTATGCAATATTAACCCAGGTATTCTCTGTTTTTAACTCATCCAGAACGATTTGCAGGAATTCTTTTCAATTGTAGAGTTTTGTAATCCTGGCGCACTAGGTAAGAATTTGCTGTACAAGAATTTGTCAATGATGGCCACATTAACCATTGCTTAATAAAATAAATAAATAAATAAATAAATAAATAAATAAATAAATAAATAAATAAATAAATAAATAAATAAATAAATAAATAAATAAATAAATAAATAAATAAATAAATAAATAAATAAATAAATAAATAAATAAATAAATAAATAAATAAATAAATAAATAAATAAATAAATAAATAAATAAATAAA